AGAAAAATCCGGAAGCCGGCTGAACTGATCTGGTCTTGAAGAGCATGGGTTTCAGAGCCAGAAAGTCCTGGGTTTGAGTCTCGGCTTTATCATTTACCAGCTGGATGACCCAGGACAAGTGATTTAACCGCTCTGAGTCTCAGTTTCCTCCTCTGTAAAATGGGGATGACAGAAGACACACCTCATAGGGTTGGTGGGAAAATCAGAGCTACTATACGGTACCCAGCACATTGTAGGTGCTCAGGCAGTGGTATCTCCAGACTTGCAGGAACTAGAGCAAGCTGCTCGTCTCACTCCGCTCTGAGCCGGCCGTGGTGTTCCTAGAGGGGTCTGGCTCAAGAGCAGTGGAAATAGGGAGGCTGGGGGCGGGGAGGGCCTGGAGGCAGGAAAAAAGACCAGAGGAGAAGACCCATCGGAAGTGGGATTGAATTTATTCCATGAGCTCTTGAGGTGGGGTATCCCAGGGAGGCAGAGTCCTCTCAATATAAGGAAAAGCTTCTGAAGGGAGGTCTGACAACATGAGGGGCTGTTTGAGGCTGGTAGTGAGCCCCAGTGCAGAGGAAGCAATCAAGAGGTTGAAAGCTCTTCTTTGAGCTTCTCAAGAAAGCTTGGGTGGATTCCCACACTGAGCAAGCAGTGGTCCTAAACCTGGCATCAAAAAGCACATGGGGGCTTATTTAAAACGCAGACTCCTGGGCCTGGGGCGACACTCAGAAATCCGCTTCATCACCAGCGTGCTAGATGATGCTTTGGGGCTGGTTGGCTGACAAAAGACTGAGAGCCACTGGGTAGAGGTGTGACTCTGTGACCTCCCAGCTCCCTTGGCGTCCCTAGAGACTAACATGTGGGGGGAAGAGAAGGCTTTGGGAGTGGGGGTCTCCTTCTTCCTGGAGGCCAGGGCTTCGTCTCCCTATAGGGGCAGGACTCAGGAAGGGGCAGAAGCACCATCTGAGGGTGGTGTGTGTCCACTTCTCTTCCTCGGGCTGAGGGTTAGACCTACGGAGACACCTGCAGACAGTAGGACTGCCAAGGGCTGTGACACTGAGGAACTGCTCCTTCTGGAGGGCTTCACAGGGGGCCAGGGATGGGCAGCTGTCAGGATGGACGAAGGCCTGGGTGCTAGCGCTCTGGACCCCTTGTGGCCTTCGCCAGCCTGGTAACGATGAGAAGGAACAGACGTGAGCCTCTGCTGTGGAGTGAAATTGCTTTGCCAGCCTGCTGACGGCAGGAGCTAGATGGGCATCTGGAAGGGGAAAGGCAGGCAGATCTCACACAAAGAAGTTAAATGTCTCTGGAAAGGGGACTTTCGTGCCGGGCGGCCAATTCCTGCCAACGCAAACTGGCGCCTGGATTTCCGCTGTTGCACTTTCTCCAGATTTCACACGTGTATGGTTGCCAGCGAGCGCACATGTACCAGGGAAAACCTTCTCGCTGGCAGCTATGTCTCTGCCGTGCCCTCTGTAGAATGCTGCTGACTCCCTGCACTCACCTTCCCTGGCGCCTGGCATCGGTTACGATTAGGCAACTATCTGCTATGCTGGCAGTGGCTGGAGGCCTTCGGGCTCCCCACACGCCCTCCAGCTGGCCCGCGGTCCATTTCCCTGTCACGGGCCGAGCACCCACCCTTCGCTCTCTGTGTGGAGAAGAGAGAGCAGGGGAGAAGACTTGCCTTTTCTGCGAAGACCTGGTTGCCAGAGAGCTGGGTGAGGTGTAAGAACTCCAAGTGCAGGGATCCAAACTCCGCCAGGATGCTGCTGCCCCCTGCCACGGCCCAGCCCCAGCTCCTGTTGGAGCCACTGAAAGACAGAAGCAGCCCCGGTCACCCTCTGCCAACAGGGCTGGCTCCTCTGCCCCATTGCCAGGCACTGGACTAGGAGCTTCTCCGTGCAATCCCAGTTAACCCTCCCTGGGGGTCGGTACTATTCTTAGCCCCATTTAGCTGATGAGGACACTGAGGTTGGTGAGAAACTTGCCGAAGGTCACCCAGGCCTGTCTGACAGGCAATATTCTTTGTTTCTATGGTCAAGCAGCTTCTGCAAGACGTGTAGGCTCCAGAAGAATATTAGCAGAGCTGCCTTGGTGGCCAAGACCTGGCACACACATGATGCTAAATTTACAGGTGATATTGATAATGCTGTCAGGGGCCACAAAGACCCCCCCCCAACACACACACAGAACACTATTTCTATCGACTTGTCAATGGCTCATAATCATTGTTGCTACTTGTGGAGGGTAAACAGTGCATGGCTGGGGTCCAAAGGGGGCAGATGAAGAGAGCAGGGATCCCATCTGGCCCCAACCCCCCCCCCCCCAAGCCAGTGCTGCTCACGGACACACGACGGCCCCCGCCTGGAACTTCATGGAACCCACACCTGAGGGTGGGTGGCCCTGCTAAGACCACACACCTGGGGCTGCTGGACCCTGGGAGGTCCAAGGCTAGGAAGGAAAGCAGCAGGGGCTCTCGGAGCAAAGGTCTCCTCACTCGCTGAGCATGTACGTGTCTCACGCACACCTCAGATGGATGACCAGCATGACCCTGCGACCCCGCCGGAGAAGGCTGTCAACTGACCGCTTCCTCTCTTTCCTTGAAAGTACTGGGTGCTTTCAAGGAGGAAGAGTACAGGGGCAGGGCCTCGGGTAATCCTCCCATCTGCCCCTTTCACAGATGAGGAAAACGAGGAACAGGACAGTGAAATCACCGCCCGAGATCACACAGTAAATGGAACAGTGGGGACCCAAGGCTGCTCTGACGCCAGAGCTTGTCCCAGTCACTGTGCAGCTGCTGGCCTCTCGTCTCATTACATGATAAGAGGCCAGGACGCTGCCTTTCCAGGAGCTGTCACTTAAAATCTCCCTGGGACCTGCAGCCAGGAGGCACAGGATCAAGTCTGTTAGCAGCGAGGTCTTGGGCAAACCATTTCTTCCCGTGTACCTTGGTTTCTGCATCCGTCAGACTGAGTAAGGATAATGCGTCCCAGTCTCGGGTCCTAGGGCTTTGCGGGGATTGAGAGAGAAGAGGAAGATGCAGAATGGGGGTGGCCTTGGGTAAGCTGCTTCCTCTCCCTGATCTGAGCCCTCGTGTGTATCATGATGCTCTTTCCCGGGACGTTTAGGACAACCAGGGAGACAAGGGTCAACCTCCCTCTGCACGGAGGTTGTGGGGGGACAGTGGGTGGGCACAGAGCGGGGTGGAGTGAGTGCCCCCTATCTGTAGGGCCTCCAAGGTGCAGTCAGTGTGTGGCAGGCTGGGGGGCTGGCTCTGCCGGGGCCTCTGGAAGCCCCTCTGCTTCCTTGCTGTGGTAGCTCTGGCTCCCTGGGAACTGGCCTCTGTCATCCCTCTGTCTCCCAGGGACAGGACCTAGGAAGGCAGTCGTGGGTCTGGGAGGTCACAGTTTGCCAGCTGAGGGGCACCGCTTTATCTGGGGTGGGCTGGGGCTCCCCTAAGGCTGCTCTTCTCTCTGATGTGGTTTCAGGAAAGTCAGGAAACTCTTCCAGCTTCCAGAAACAGATGGAACTGAGTCTTAGGATCTTCTGGAGCAGGTGATCTCAGTAAACATCCCTGCCTCCTTGGGTATTTTCCTGACTTGGGGGCAGGTGGGGAGGGATGGGTTGCACAGAGAGGGGAAACTTGGCTCCTAGATAGTAAATAAAACAGCTTCCAGATGCAGGCACTGGGGCAGGCGTTTGCATCATGACCTCATTTAAAGCCCACAAGGCAAAGCATCATTAAACCCTGAGGAAATAGGCTCAGAAAGGGAAGTGAGTTGCTTTCAGAAGCTCAGAGCTGGTAGCGGGTGGAGGCAGGATTCAAACCTCAGAGGGCACTTCCCTAAGGGGTCCCTGAGACGGCCCCATATCCACCTCGAGGGAAGGGGAAGCTGACCCCTCCCTGTCCCTCCCCCCACGCCAAGAGACCTCTCTCTCCAGCCTGCGATCTCAGTGGGAGCTGCAGGTACCCACAGAGGGCTTCCTGAATAATTGATGCTTCCTGCCCTCGCAGAGAAATTCAAGGTAAAAAAAAAAACCCCAGCCACCAGCCATCTTTTGTTCTCATTTTCTCCCACAGGAGCCTCTTCCTCCTCTCCCCTCCCTCTCAATGCTCACCCTCCCAAGTGGGCCTCCTGTGGTCGAGCCGCCCCGGGCAGAGGCGGGCGGTAGGCCAGGCACCTTCTCTCCTGCCTGGCTTCAAATGCTGGCTCCCCCAGTTCCCAGCTTAGAAGACCTCAGGAGGGTCAGTGAAGGGTCAGTGAATTCTTCTAGACCCCAGTCTCCTCATCTGTTAAACGACAGTACCCACACCTCATAGAGCCATTGTGAGATATAAATTACGCACATGATGACTGTCATTGTTACCATTATGTAATTACGCACATCTAAATTATGTGTTGTTTGTTAGAGTTAAGTTCCTAATATGTGCCAGGCAGCAGCTGTATCTTATTTTACCTTCACATCTAACTTCAGAGGTAGATACCAAGATTCTTAGTTCATAGGTTAGGATACTCAGACTCAGAGAGGGGAAGACACTTTTCCAAGGTCACACAGTAAGTGACAGTGCTGGTAGAGCTGATATCAAATCCAAATCCTAGGTGCTTTGCGCCCCAAAGGCATCTGTTCTGGGCAGCATCCAGAGACCAGGAGGTCTTCTGATCAGCCTCATGAGGCAATGGGCTGAAGGAGCTCTGCCCTCTGCTCCCCTCCTTGCCTTTTAAGTCTCCAAGTGGACTCTCCCCTGGTGGGAGGGGCTGCTCCACAATGCCCCTCCCCAGCCTGGTGGAAGCTTCTACATGTGTGTGCCTGTGTGTGCACACATGTGTATGGTGAAATCGTTAACTCTGGAGCCAGACAGACCACGATTCTAATTCTAACTTTGCTTTGCTGCTGTGTGACCTGGGTAAGTTACCTCACCTCTCTGAGTCTGTTTCTTCACTGTTAAAATGGGGTCCACACAATGGTTGTTGTGTGCTGAAAAGAGAGAACCCACGCCATTGTGCCTGGGACACAGTGAACGTTCAAAAACGTGCACAATTATTACGATGTGTATGTTAAGTGTGTAGCAGAAACGTGCACATGTAAACGCATCTTTGTGTGTGAATCTGTGCACATATACAGAGGTGGGAGAGTGCGTGTGACAAAGGTGAGCCTGTGTATCTGAGTCCTCATGATTTGGGTGAGTGGCAGTAGGGTGCATAGGTGTGTGTGAGGCTGGGTGTGTGAGAGAGCCAGTGAGATTGATTCAGCTGCAGAGGCCCTTGGACTGGCCACCTCCCCTCTCCCAGAGTTCAGTGGTCCTGCAGGTCACAGGTCATGGCTGCCCCTGCCTCCGCCTCCCAGGCCTGCCACCAGGGAGGGGGAGCGGTCACACTCACTTGGGGACCACCTCCCTTCAGGGTCCTCCTCACCGGGCAGTTTGGGGACAGGGCCTAGTTACTGCCCCTCCTACTAGGGCCCAGGTTCGAGCTGCTCACAGCCAGCCCTGCTCTGAGCAGAGGCAGCAATGTGGACCCAGCTCCCACCAGCAGGCCCTCTCCAAAGGGAACACTCAGCGCCACGCGGGCTGTATACATCCCTGACGTTTTCCCTGGTGGAATGGGGATGCATTTTTAGCAATAGACTCTCTTACCCAGAAAATGAGAGGGAGGTGTTGCCAGGAAATATGCATACACATACATATGTATACAGCACTGGCAGCATGTAAACAGCCTAAAAATAAATGCGCTTTCTTAATCAGAAATGTCAGGATCTGCGGGGGATCAGGTCCGGGCTCTGCAGGACATGGGTAAGGCAGGCAACCAGGGCTGCAGCTTGTGGGGCTTGCTTGGAGTCAGGGGGTGCCACGCATGGAGGAGGGAGGGGTGCCTGAGCTAAGGTCTCATCTCAGACCCCAGGCAGTGAGGCCTGAGAAGCTGGACCCGGGACAGGGATCCAGAAAGACGGGGTGTTTTTGTCTTGGCTCCAAGACGTCTGGCCGTGTTTCTCCAAGATCAGTGTTGGTGGGAAAGGAATCTGAGCAGGGATCAAAGTGACAGGGTCTGAGGAGTCAACCCTGGCACCGAGATGGGGGTTTGATGGGCCCTGAGGGCCCCTCCCTGGCCTGCAGTGCGATTTCAGTGACATCACACCCCAGGAATCCTTTCTGACCACAGAGATGAAGGTGAGGAAGGTGAAGATGCTGAGCAGGCCGAGTCCTCCCTTCTTTGCAAGGCCCTAGAGGGTGTGACCTCCCAGGGAGAAAGGGGGGCCTTGGGCACTCCACCCGAGCCCAGGGCCCCTGCCTCCCCTCCCCTGTTGGACTGAGATCCCTGAGATAAGAAATCACTTCAGGAGATGGAACAGAAAGTCCAGTGTGATGGACATATTACAGCCCTCCCCCGCAGGCTCAGGTTGTAGGATGGTCTCAAGAATGGCCCCAGAGGGCTCCCTGGGTGCCTGGGGACCGGCACGTGCCTTCTACCAGGTCTCCAGTTCTGCTCCATGCATTGTGAGGGTGGCAGGGTTCCTGCCTGAGGGAGGGCCAGGTGGGTGTTGGGAGCAGAGCTTTTGATCTGTAACAAAATGGGTTAAAACCTGGCCCCATTGCCTGTGAGCTAGAAGACCTTGGGCAGTGGGCATAATATAAATACCCACCCTAAAGGCCTGCTGTGAGGAGTGTGCTCTGAGGTGTTGAGTGAAACCCTTAGCGTAATGCCAGGCACAGAGTGATCGTTCAATAAATGGTAAGGGCAGCAGTCATCAGAGTCGGTCTCTCATGCTGCACACACTGCCTCACGTGAACATTTGTTGAAGGAATGAACAAAGAAAAACGGGGACATGGGTCCTGCCCTCAAGAAGCTCCGGGGCCGGTGGGGCAACGTGAAGACTGAGTGTGACAAGGGCCACGGGAAGCAGATGAAGGGCCTGGAGGCCAGGAGAGCCAAGGACACTTTTGGCTTCTGGAGAAGGTGGCACCTGAGCTGGCCTCTGATAGCGAGGGAAATGGTGGGAAATGGCAGCTCAGGGGAGGAAGAGAGGGAGGGAAGGCAAGACACTGGGGTGCACTGGGGTCTCCAGGAGCAAGATTCATGCTCCTCAGTGGATCCTAAAGCTGGCTGGCCACTATTCCTCTGACTTTGAGGCCGTCCTTTCCCCTCTGGGTCTCAGCGCCACACCTGGCTCCCACCCTCACACGGGGCAGGTAAGTCCCCGGGGGCTTTGGAGCGGGACGGAGCTGCGGCCCTGGCCCCACCTGCTCTAGCTGTGTCACCCCGGGTCCCTTCTACTCTGGCTCTGTGACTTGGTGAATGTCCAGAAAGACTCTAGTTCACACGCCGAATTACGCAACCTATCAGGAGGGGAAACGATGCAAGTGGCCAATAAAAACTAATGTTTTAAAACAGTCGGTAGAAAGAAACATACCAGTGGTTTCTTGACTAGTGGAGTCACAGGTGATTTTCTGGGTCTTATCCAACACTTCTGGTATAATCCACATTTTTTTTGCAATGAGGATTTCTTTTTACAGGGAGGAATCACAATAAATATTATTGAAAATGGAGTTGGAAGTCCTGGGCTCATGTCCTGGATGGTCCGTTACTGGCTTATGTGACCTCGGCCAGGGTCTTTCCTCCTCGGAGTCTGAGCCTCCATGGGCTTGATGCTCCCAGAAGCCCCTCTGGGTTCTGACAGCCCCTCTGGGCTCCTGAGACCCAGCCCTGACAGGGGCTGAGGGGTCAGCAAACCAGGGTCCCTCTGCCCAGGGTCCTGACTCCCCAGCAGCTTTGGGTTCCTGCTTGTGGTGGGATGTGTGATGTGCCTCCCAGCCCGGGATCCCAGCTGGGAAGGGAGGGCAGTTGGGGCACAGCGGTGGGGCTGTGAGTCACGGCAGTGTTACGAGATGATCACAGAGGAACAGCGGCCCCATCTCCATGCCAGAAAGATCAGGTCTTGCGTGGCCTAAACCTGAAAACCAGGTTTAGTGACCAACGCCAGCTCAGGAGAGCCCCTGGCTGAGGCTAGGTGTCACTCTGCCACTGACCCCCGTGATTCCTGCGGCGGCATTCATCCCACCCTGTGTCTCAGTTTCCACGCAGATGCAGCCGAAGCCACAAGTGGGAAACCAGACGGCATCCTACCTTTTGAAGTTCACCACGCCTTTTGGGATTCCCGTGGGGGTATCGAAAGCCGGCAGGAGTTTCTCTCCCAGCTTGATGGCCTTTATTCGGAACACCTACAAGTAAGGGTCAAAGGGCACTGTGAATCCTGGCGGATAAACCTGCCAAGGCTGCTGGGCCCAGAGTGGGAGGTGCATTAGGCTCTGGGGTCAGTCAGGCCTGGATGTGAACCTGAGTCCATGAATTCCTGGCTCAATTTCCTCCCTCGTTTATAAATCCAGGGCAATATTGCCTTCCTCAGAGGGTTGCTGGAGGAATGAAAATTAGATAATAGTTGTAAAGCCCTTACTGCAGGGCCAGGACTAGGACGAAGGCTCAGTGATTATGCTGTGCTGGGAACACGGAGAGGTCAGGGCAACAGGTCACCAATGGTCAGTGCCTGCCTGCATGGCGGGGCCAGTGCACCCCAAGCTGAGTGCGTGAGAAACACATTCGGATAGAGTGTAACGAGCACGGGATGGGGAGCTCCCGGCCTTGCTTCCCAACCTGGCTTCCGTTTGCTTCTCAGCACACCTCTGCCTTCCCACCTGTAAACCCAGGGGAAGGGCCTTTCCTCTCTGACACTCTGATTCTGCCCAGTGTTCCTATTTTACAGCGGCAAAGGTGAATGGCTAAACCGGTGATGTGATGGTCGGGGAGCCACAGGGAGGTCCCAGGTGTCAGGGCCCTTGCACGAGGCTCTAAGCCCCTCAAACTGTTTTTCTGGTTAATTCAAAAGCACCTGTGACCTTCTGGCTCCTAGGAATTTATTCTAAGGGAATAAATCATCAAGGATGTTGCAAAGACTTAACTTTATGGCTATTTATTCCAGTGTTGTTTAGTATAGAAAAACTGGAAATACTCTAAATATCAAGCCACAGGGAAGTGGTGAAATGATGGCTTATCCATGCAATGGAATACCATGCAGCCACTGAAGTGACGTTAGAGAGGTTTATTTCATAGCAAAAAAACGGTTTATAATCTATTAAGAGAAAATATTTCACAATGGTGTAATTCAACTTTTGTAAAAATTATATACAAGTGGATGCCTGAGGAAAGGTTGGGAATACACTGAACTATTAACCATGGTCTTCTCGGAGGACTAGGCTCATGGGGGATTTTTATTTTCTTCTTTTGGCTTAATTCTATTTTCTGTGCTATTTTTACAATAAAAGCAAACCCACAGGGCTTCCCTGGTGGCGCAGTAGTTGAGAGTCCGCCTGCCGACACAGGGGACACGGGTTCGTGCCCCGGTCCGGGAAGATCCCACATGCCGCGGAGCAGCTGGGCCCGTGAGCCATGGCCGCTGAGCCTGCACGTCCGGAGCCTGTGCTCCGCAACGGGAGAGGCCACAACAGTGAGAGGTCGGCGTACCGCAAAAAAGGAAAAAAAAAAAAAAAAGCAAACCCACAATAACATTATTTATTTTTGAAAAGCTGAGAAGCAAGTCCCTAAGCAACCACTCCTGATGGGACAAAAAGCGTTTCCTTTCACTTCTGGGGCTCCAGGGAGACTCAGTGTGCTGACCGCCTGCATGTTGTTGCAAAATGAAGTCTTCTTGAGGTCTCTCCTAACATGTGCAATTTAAAGGTTCTGAGGCAGCTGTTTGGGGACCGCAGTGGGGAGGAGTTTGTGAACACTACCTGGGCTGTGGATTAGAGGCCTCTGTGGGGCGGGTGTAGTTCTTGTTTAGGAAGGAGGGAGGGTGGGAGGGAGAGGGAAGAATTGCACCTGGGGCCTGGTAGTGATGGGTGACAGAAGATGATAACATCCAGTGCCAGACAGTGGGTCCTAGAAGTGGGCACTGGGGCAGCCACAGCAGAATCCTGAGGAAGTTTGTCTAGAATTCAAATTCCAAAGCCTCGAGTCACCCCAGAAGCCACTGGTTTAGCAACAACAAGGGGCTCTCCTTTGAAGGTCCTGATCTCTTCATTTGCCCCCGGGGAGGCTGAGCACAGAGGCATGAAGGAACGCAGGAACCCACGGGAACCTGACCCAAGGCTGGGGCTCCAGGCTGCCCTCTGCCTGAGGACGCCAAGCTAACTCCTCTGAAATGCTCCTCTCTGCCAGCAAACCACGTCTCCTTCTTTGGAAGGCCCTGATGCAGGCTGGCATGGCAGAGCCTCAACCATCCCAGGGAGGTGTGACTGGACAGGAGTGGTATCATGCGGAACAGAACACCTGTCCTCATCATTTGGAAATGATGTGTCTTATCTATGTCACCTTTGATCCTTGCAACAGGCTTGTGGGGAAGGTGTTGACCCACTTTGAGGAAAACAAAACTGAGTCTCAGAGAAGCAAGTTGTCCAAGGTTATGGAGCTATTAAGTGGCTCTTTTCCAGGACACCAAGCCACCTCACCAACACAGAGAGATATGGCCTCAGACAGCCATGGCACACAATGGGCAGTGGCCTAGTGGTTCCAGAACAGAGGTGAGAGAGACCAGAAAAAATTACATCCTGTAGAGTGGAAAGGGCTCTTGACTGGGAGTCAGAGCCCAGGTTCAGATCTCCCCACTCAGCAGCTGTGTGACCCTGCATGAGTCAGGTACTGTCTCCGAGCCTCATCTGCACAAAGGAACAGTGACGTGTGCCCTGGTTTCTTCAAAGGGGTCTTCTAGAAATCAGATGAGAGGATGTACATAAATGAATATGCTATAAAAACTGTAAAGTGCTTTGCAAATGTCACCTGGTGCAGCTGTGGTTGTTCCTGTTATTCTCGTGGAATATTCTCGTGGAAGTGGAGTCTCTGTGGGAACCCCCCACCTCCCGCCCTACCCAGCAGGGGATCCACCTCCTGCAGGTTCCCTCTGAAGCAAGAAAGGCCTCAGCCCAGGAAGGGGCGTGGGATCTCCTTCACCGTTCATTCCACAAACACCGTGGGAAAGACCCACTCCACCAGCACCCCCTGTATGCGAGATGGAGGATGGAGAGAGGAGGGAGGCCTCAGTCTGGTGTGGCCGAGTCCTGGTGACAAGCAGTGATGCTGGGCCAGGCTGAACAAGGTCTAGAACCCAGGCCCACGGTGGAAAGACACAGGAACCTGTGCGACCTGCACTGGCTCCCTTTCCTAATTCTCAGTCTCCGCAGCTGCATGTACGGCCGGTCTCCGCGCGGGGAGGTGCTGGGCACTGAGGGGTCAGGGATGCGTGGCTGCGCCCATAACCCGGAAGCCTGCCTGCCCAGGGGTTCTGAGCCACTCAGGCTCCCCTTGGGCCTTCTGGACACAGGTACTCCTACCACACCCCACTGCCTGGTCTGCCCCCAAGAAATCGCTGGCCCCACACCCACCCCTGTGAGCCCTGAGCTGCATGGCTCCACCCCCAACCTGGACGGGAGGCTGGCCGGTGCCCGTGCAGAGCATGGCGCCTTTTTCTGCTCCACATCATTTTCCTGTCCTGGGGTTTTCAAATGAAATTCAGGCCTTGGGTGGCTCGCAGGGTTCCCATGGACAATCATTTGGGGACAAATTGGTACAAGCGGTAATCTCTGCTGAGGAGATTAGGCTTGATGGAGAGGGGCCCGGAGCGGCCGGAGAGATCAAGTGCTCGCCGCCTGCTGCCTCCGCCCGCGTGGCCTCCGCCCATCCGCGCCACTTGCTGGAAGGGAAGCGGCAGGGCTTTCTCTGACAGCAGCGGCAGAGGTTCCCCACCAGCAGGGGGCAGGATAATTATGTGTCCAAGCGGACAGAGCAGCGGCTGTGCCGAGCAGTGCAGCCGCTCTGCGTAGGGGCCACACAACTGACGGGTGCCCCATGCGCTGGGGATTCTGCCAGCCTCCCCCCAGGTCCTCAGGCTGTGCTTTCCCAGGCGCTCACGAGGGATGAAGTCCCCCACTTCTGTGGTTCTCAGGATTCCTTGCAGTGCAGAGAACATGGGCTTTGGAGCCCTTCAGCCCTGGGGCCAAACCCTTTCCCACTCCTCCCATTTCACAAGACCTCTCTGACCCCTGGGGGTTAGGACCACCCCACTGTGGGGAAGGCATGAGGTCTAGGGGCGGGAGAAGGGACTTGCTCAAGGCCACAGGCAGGTGCCGCGTAGGGATGAGACGCAGGTTTTCTGACTCTGTGCCCAGGGCTCTGCATTCTCGCCACCCTTCACGGCCCTCCTTCTGGAAGCCAACGCAGTTCGCCTGGGCCGAGTGGCCGGCAGTGGCTGCCCACCTCCCCGGTCGCCCGCTTGAGACCTGGAGCTGGAGTTTGGCTGGTGTCTGGCCCGGGAGCAGAGGGCAAGGGGATGGCTGTGGAGCAGGCCAAGGCCAAGGGGCCCGAGGAGGAAACGGTGAAACAACGGTCTTGGCTTTATCAGTCCTGAGAACCAACATGTGCGAAAACCAGTCCAGCAGCAGCACAAGCCTGGACGGAGCACAGATATCGCAGGTGCCCTATGGGGAGCTGTGAGGATGGTGGGCAGCCCCAACTGCTGCCCTTGGAGAATTTACTAGCAACTGTGGGAGCCACCTGGGCTCCCCTGGGCAGCAAAATTGAAGGAGGATTCTGTGGGTGGCACCATGGAGATGGGATTCAGATCCCCTCGAATCCCTGTTTCCTCGTTGGTAAAATGAGGGGGTGGGATTGGATGTCCTCCTAAGCCCTTTCCAGCCTGGATGGTCCAGGGGCTTTGAAAGGCCAACTTACCTCCTCTCCCGTCAGGTAGAAGGCCGAGAGAAGTCCTCCGATGTACCGGATGTTCACTTCGAACAAGGATGCCTCTCCACTCTGCGGGGCAGAAAGACAGGGAGGGTAGTGGGGACATTCGTGAGATGCCCACAGGGCTTCCTGAGGCAGCCAGACCCTTGAGACAGGTCACACCTGCCACTGCCCCTGCGCCACTGACCTGGCCATACCTGCGCCGGGCTCCGGGCTCCAAGCCCTTGCCCAGCGGGCCAGGCTACCTTTGGTGGTGGTTTTCAGAGCAAAAGGTGAAAGGGATCAGCACCTGCCTGGCGGGCAGCTACTGAACATTTACAGAGTTCCAAATAAACACTGGGCTTGGCTTCCTTCCCCAGTCTTTGCTGGAGGCCATCGCAGCAAAGTTATGCCTGGCTGCTCTCCAAGGAGCTCAGGAACTTGTGGGGGAGCTGCTGGCTGAAGCTTAGCCTGAGGAGAGGCAAATCCTCCTCCTGTCTGGCCCCCTCCTCCCCGAGAGAGGCCCCTGGCTTAGCAGGAGGATGGTGTGGTCCTTCTTTGGGGTGACAGGGCAAGTGGAGGGTTCTCACAGGAGGTTCTGAGGAGGAAAGGAGGGGTGCCAGGCAGATCTTAGTAGGCAACCAGCAGTTTCTCAGCCTCAGCTCTGTAGCCCTCAGGGCACACCCACACTTGCCTTAATCATTGTTGTTTTCTTTCTGAAGTGTGGACTGCAAAGCAGGGTTAATGAGGCATCATGCCGAGGACCAGATCTGGGTTAAAATCCCACCTGAGGCACTCACTTGGCTTTCAAACTTCGGGCAAGATATTTAGCTTTTCCCTGCCCGAGTTTCTTCATCCCGAGCAGGGTGGATATGAGATCCTGAGTGGGGCAGGTGAGATGCCTGCCCAGTGCCTTCCCAGTGCTGGGCATGGCTTCATAAAGGTGCCTGTTATAAACCCCCCGCCCCGTAAGGGCTCCCCTTGGCATACTTCCCACATCACGGTCTTTTGTTATTGATGACAGCAATGGTCATCTTTTTATCTGGGAGAGCTTTTCCATTAACAGAGCACTTGCACAGCTACTCTCTTTTGCCTTACAGTCCTTGGTGAAGGCATCATTCCCACTTTTCAGATGAGAAAGCCCAGGCTCAGAGAGGTGGAGAGACCCCATCTTGCTTTCTTCCAGGGACACTCCCAATCTGTCCCAGCCTGTGTGAATGTCCCTAGGCTTGCCCAGCCCTGCCACCACCTGGCTCCTCAGGCAGCTGCCTGAGGCCCGCTCTCTACCCACCATCTGCGGAGGGGTCAAGGTGGGCTATGGAGACACTCCTTCCTTCTCCTGCCTCAGATACTGCAGGAAATGGGAGGATTCTGAACTTTCTCGCCTCACACAGACTAGCAGAAGTCATAACAAGCCTCAAAATCATCACAGTGATGATGGCACCACTTTATCTGTATTGGACTTTATAGTGTCATAAAATGCTTTTTACAACCCTCCATGGTGGTCAATCCTCACAAGCCTGTGAATTAGGCACTATCATTGTACCATCTTTTGGTTGGGAAAGTAAGGCCCAGGAAGGTTAAATGACTTTTCCCAGGCTGCGAGCTGAGCCAGAGGCTCTCCTGTAGCATTGCCTTTCCGGACTTTCCCCACTTTGTCTCTCTGCCCTGCTCTGCTCTGACATGGGCCTCTCCAGGAGCAGAGACCTCCGTTCTGCCAGGAGCTGTCCCGGTTCATGGCAGGATCTGTCACTTGTGGAGCCCCAGATGGAGCCCGACAGTGTGTTTTGATGTGACCCTTCCCCCTACCCATCTGTCTCCATGTCTTGCTCCCCCAAACCACCTAAACAGCATCTCCCTGTGGGGAGCTGAGACCTCCAGGATGGATCTGTTACTTTAGTCTGGGCTGAGAGATCAGTGGGAGAGGCATCTGGTATTTAAGGCTTTTGTACCATCCATATACATGAGAATCCCCGTCCCAAGGCCCTGGTCCCTGACCAGGGATGCCTGCAAGGCTGGAAACCAAGAGGGCCCCAAGCCTGGTCATGGCCTCAAACCGGACAGCTCCCCCTGCCCCTCTCACTCTCAAGAGGGCAGCCCGGGGGTGGATGGGGACCTCTCGGTTAGGGCAGCTCCGAGCAGATAACCAGTTCTCCCTTCCCAGAGTCGCTTCCCCTGTTGCTGCTGTTCTGTCTGACAGAGTCAGTCCCAGAAGGGGCTTCCTGGGTGGGAGCAATGTGCCTGGCACCCTAGGGAGGGCAAGAATGGCTGTCTTCCACCCCAGGGAGTTCCGGCTAGTAAATACTCACGGGCCGGCCAGGGCTGGGGGGACATGCCCCACCTCGAGGCTGGTCTGAGGAGAGGGGCCTTGGCACAGGGTGCACGGAACCCTGCTTCCAAGAATGCTCTGCTGGGCAGCCTGGGAGGAGCGGGTCACTGACCTCTCGGGCCCCTTCTGGCTCTAATACCCCGGAGGTCTTTGACTCACCACGTTCAGGTGGAAGCTCTCTTCCACCCAGGCCTTGGCCTCCTGGAACTCCTCCTTCAGCTCCATGAGGTAGAGGGTGTCGAGGGAATCAATGACCGTTGCCCCACTGAGGCCTCCTGCAGGCACAGAGGATGGGTCAATCTCGTCCTTTCCACCCCAATCACACAAGCCACCATTCCCCGGGCCTCCTCTAAATGCCTGGGCAGGCTCCCAGGCACGATCCAGGGAGACTCCAGGGCCACCAGCCTTTGAAGGCACATCCAGGACCCAGAGTCCCCCCATGGGCTGCCTCTTCCTCAGGGCAGCAGAGGGTGGGTGGGGGGTTGGAGAGACTGAGTTCAAGGCATGAGCTGCTCCCCAGACCTTGGTCCACTCTTACATCTGCCAGCATGTCAACCATCAGGGCAAGTTGGGCGCCCACCACTTCTCTGTCATGCTGGGGGTGGCGGGTGGGCGGGTGAACTGGCATTTGGTCCACAAAATCTTAACAAATGTGCCAGTCCACTGACTCTTCAATGCCATTCTTTATTTTATTCTAAGAACAAAAAGATGTTCATAAATATTTATCCAGGAAGGTATTTATTGCCGTATCATATATAATGGGTAAAAGTTGGGGGAAAAAACCTCCAAGTCCAATAATAGGAGAGTAGTTACACAGATTGTGGCTCATGTATAAAATAGGACACTATGCAGACATTCACACAACTGAGAAAGACCTATGTTAGTTGGGGAGATACACATGGGATCTGTTAAGGTAAAAAAAAGTAGATTGCAAAAAAAAAAAAAAAAGCACAATATAATTTCTTTACTGTTTGCCAGTGTGGATGAGCCTGAACAGAATCAAGTCTGGCAGGAAGTGATTCAGTGGTTATTGCTGAGTGCTGGGATTACAGGTGCTTTTTGATTTCTTCAGCTCATGGATTTTTTTTTTTTTTTTTAATTCTGCGCCTTTCACCTTCACTCTGGTAGGACTGCATTTGCCATAGGCTGATAAGTGAATATGGCAGAACTTCAAAACTCATGTCAGCCAAAGAATCTAGAGAGAGAAAAAAAATCAGACATAAAGCTGGTAAAAGGCAGCTATAAATTTTTTTAATGCCTTTTATTTAATTCTACCAGAAGATCACACAGCAGTGTGATCTAGATTTGGTACATCTCAACCTCAAGTCACGCACGCACATGGCCTCCGTCCAATTTCTTGCCCCAAAGATGTGGTTTTCATTTAACTAGTAAACCGAGAGAGGTTGCTTGTAAGACCAATACATTAATAAACTCTCTCCACTTAAGACAATTTGAACCTTCCCCTGCGTCGGCAGGCGGACTCTCAACCACTGTGCCACCAGGGAAGCCCCATGGATTATTTTTATAACCAGAAATTTATTTCTGATAAAAAAAAACGGAAAGATAATTTGGACAAAGAAACTAAACAAATGCACAAACCAAAGATTCCGTGGCCACTCTTGCTCTAGGCCAGTGGGTACACAAAGCGTGAGCTTTGAGGCCTGGCCCCTGCCACTGGGGCCTTAGACTCTTGTCCTGGGAGTAAAGGCTGAGAAAATTGTGCAGTTTTCCACACCACAGACTGGACAGCAGAGCGATGAGAAAGAACCTCCCACATGGGACAACCAGAGCCTGCCTTCTAGCGGACGGTAGAGGAAGAAATGAGGGAGAAAGAGATGTGCCTGGGGCCATCTGGGGGGCTTCCTGGAAGAGATGGTGGCCTCCCATCAACTCCTTACAACTGTAGTCATCGCAGGCAGCAGCAATTTCCTTTAGGGACTAGAGGGTAACTTCAGAGAAGTAATTGTTCCTTCAATGTCCTCCTTGCAGAGGCTCAAAGCATTGAGACTCACAGCCTCCACCTTCCCCCAGCGGACACTAGAGCTCCCTGACAGGTGCTGAGCCCCACTTGAGTCTGAAGTACGGCTTTGCGGGCACTCCTGCATTCAGAGCTAGCGTCCCATCTCCTTAATTAGTGCTTCCTTAACTGCTCACTTGTGTTGACTTTGCATGCAGGGAATCCTTGTGAAACTCAAAACACTTAACCACCTCTCTAGGCTGGGCAAGGTCAGATAAAGGGCACGGCTTGGAAAAGGATGGGAGGGAGATCCAGGAGAAGTTGAGAGAAAGTTAAGTCTGGAGGTTAAAGACACATTTCCAGAAGGGAGGGTTTGCAAGGAAGAGTGGAGGGAGGGGAGGGCTGGGGGATGCAGGCGTTTCCCAATCCAGAGACACATGTCCTGGGACGGCTTCGGCTTTTGAGTTGAAGTGAATCTCCAGAATGTCAACCCCTCCTACACTTAAGGATTAGTAGGAGAAAACATACTCAAAGCCAAACCAAGTTGATCTTTTTCTGGTTTATCCTGGCTGCTTCCCCTGTAGGTGTCCAAAGCTGAGCACGGTTCGTGGCAACTCTTTACCCTCCTGAGGTGCTCAGGCCTTGGGACCCAGATGGGCCACACATGGCCAGAGAGGGACTGAGACATGCCCCGGCCAAAGGGCACAGGCCTGGGGTCCACACTCCTGGCTCTGATGCCAGGGTCCCTTCCTGTTAACCACAGGGCCTCACACCTGACTTCTTAAGGGCCTGGAGGAATTTTTGAGATGCGGCTGCCTCACCCCTAGATTTCAGAGATGAGGACCCCAGAGAGGTCCCGCCCAAGATTAGCCCAAGGGAGGAATGGAGCCCCAGGCCGGGCCACATGTAGTGTGTTTTCCACAAGAGGGCCTCTCAATTCCCTGGGAAAACAATTTCGGATCTGCTTGCTAAGTCCCCCTCCCCTGCGGGGGCAGGAGGCTGCTCTGACTCGTGAAGAGAAGAGAAGAGAAGCCCAAGCTGTGTGTCCTTCAAGGTCAAGGGAGAGGCGGCCCAGAGTACCCGATTTCTGGATCCTGCCCCGGGCTGCCTGGTGTTTTCACCCCACAGGCCCTCCGTCTCCTGGGCCAACCCTGAGTCCTGAGGCCCCAGGGCATTGGCTGGGCCGGGAGAACAGCCAGGGCTCCTCGTGACCAGCTGTCCTTCCCGAACACTCCCGAGGCAGCCGGCTGAGGAGGCGACTCGCTAAGAGATTTGTTGGCAAGGTTCTGCCCCTGCTCTCGGGTGTCCAAGTCCTCCTGCTTCTCCGCTCCCACCTACCACACAGCTGGGCTGCAGGCCAGCAAGGCACTTATTGGAAAGCTTTCCGTTTCAGGCCGGAGGTTACCTGGCGGCCAGGCCGGGCAGGAGAGAAGGCCCTATCCCGAATTCAACTCTATCTGCACCTGCAGCTGACCTGGGGCAGCTCCCCAGGGAAAAAGACAGACGCCTATTCAGTCAGCAGGCCCCAACTTGTATGTAAAGAGCCAGCGGGGCACAAAGAGTCAGGTGGCCAGCTTGGAAGCTTCCCTGGGCCTGGGCGGCCCACTCTCCTGGGCGGCCCACCCTCCCGGCTCTAGCTCTGAACTGTTGCCGTTCACAAAAGCCCCCGCTGGCTCCCCTTCCTGTGTTCTTCTGTTAAAAGAACACAGCTCTGTGTTCACATCCCAGCCTGGGCCAGCAACCCATCTGCTCTAAGTGTCAAAGTTCTCATCTGTAAAATGAGGTGAAGACCACTGGGCTGGGGTACTGAGGAGCCACTGAAGGTTCCTGAGCTGGGACAAAGGTATCATATACTGCCCAGCCTAAAGACACCTGATAAAGACATCTGTACATGCCTGGCACGGTGTAAGTGCTTGACAAATCAGTTCATTGTTCTTATTTCTGGGGTCCCTTAGCTCACCTTGAAACACTGGCCTGGCCAGGGAGATGTGGGTTCAAATCCTGGCTCCACTATGTACTAGCTGTGTGCAGGGCAAGTCACTGTACCTCACTGAGCCTCATTTTTCTCATCTGAAAAAAATGGAGATTACAGTAGGACCAACCTCGTAAGGCTGCTGGGAGGGTTAAGTGCGGGGGTGGATGGAAAGGAGTTGGCGTGATGTTGGGTGCACATGAGCTGGTCCCCACAAACAGAAGTATGGCCCTCCTTGTCCCCAGCTGGCCCTGGGCAGCCCTGCCACAAAGCCTTCTGGGGTCACTGAGGCCTTGTGACGCTCCTGCATTACTGGCCTCTCACCACCCTGTTGGGCAGTGTAGGCACAAGACGCGGCTTGCAAAAGCCTTGACCCAACTTAAAGGAAAAGTGTCATATGGGTCCCACCTGTGTCTGCTGCTTCCCACCCCTGACCTGGGTGTGCTCCTGCCTCCAAAAGGGTCTACCTACCTCCCGGACCCCTTCCTTCCCCTCTGATTCACCCTGTATACTGTCGCCTGATCTGTCTCCCGAAAACCAGATCCATTGTGTCCATCCCCAGCTCAGGAACCTGCAGTGGCTTCACAGTACAACCATACAATAAAGAGTTGTGCGCACGCGTGCGTGCACGTGTGTGTGTGTGTGTGTGTGTGTGCGTGCGTGCGTGCACGCGTAAAGTCTTTTGGGTCTGAATCCAAAGGATCTGGCTAATATCTCGCATCAATCTCTGCTTCCTGGACACAGGCTGCATCCTCTGGCCTTCCTACCATTGCATGTGTGGTCTCCTCTGACAAGAAAGCTTTTCTGTGCCTCTGGGCAAAGCCCACACCTTCTTCAAGGTCACCTCCCACTGGCAGCCTTCCCTGATTGCACCCAGACAACCTCCTCTCGCCCAGAGAGCTCCCGTAGCACTTTCTGGGGCTTCCCACTCAGGCACCCTCCCTGCACTGTGAGGCTCTGTCTCGCCCTCTAACTAGACCATGAGATCCTTGAGGCTCATGCTTCTCTTACACCCCTTCCCTGCCTTGTCTCCAAGCAGCCCCAAAGGCCAGAGCTCCCAACCCTAGTGGGCCCCTCCCTATTCCCTGCAGCTTCAGCACATTCCCCGACTTCTGTGACGCCTCTACAAACTTCGCTAGGAGTTGCCTTCCCCATTCCACCTGCTCCTGAGGGGTCTGGAGCTGCCCAGTGTCTCCTCACCCAGGAAGCCACTGTGATCCTCACCCCACAGTCTGCATGAAGTCTCACCCTCCCCGAGAAGTCTTCCCCAGCCCTTCAGGGTCCACCCTCCATGCCCCTACTCCGTGTACCCCCATCGCCACGACAAGTGCTCCTTTCTCATCACT